GAGAAAATAAAAGTGGTGTAGATGACGAAGAAGGAGAAGCCATAAAATTGAAGGTGAAGATGATGAAGACAAAGCAAAAAAGAAAATAGATGCAGGTGGCGAAGACGAAGAAGGACAAGACTAAGAAAGTGAAGGTGAAGATGGTGAAGACAAAGACGACGGAGAAAAGAGAAGACGGCGAAGACGAAGAAGGAGCAGACTAAGAAAGCAAAGGTGAAAACGACGAAGAGAAACGAAATGAAGCACAGGCGGCGGAGGCGGTTCCGGCGGCCTGCCGCGCAACCAAGCGCCTTGCGCCACGCGGTATGACGAGGGGCGCTCGCCTCGTTGCGCGGGGCGCAGTGCGCAGTGCGCTTATCGGCGACACACAGGTGCGCACGTGCGCAGCGGCTGCGACGGAGCGAAGAGCCTCCCTTAACGAGCGTGTGCACATACGCGCGCGCCGCTGAGTACGTATGAGCGAGCGGATTACAGCGACTCACGGGGGAAGGGAGGGGGCGAGGAGGAATAAGGCGCAGGTCACTGCATGACAATGACGGCGAACGGGGTGGCAAGTGGGCTGGGAAGTCATTTGGGCCGCGTTCGTACGGGAGGTCCGTCTCGGTAGAGATGGCATGACGCACACGTGCAAGCACATTCTCAATTAATCATTAAAAGAACATTTTGAACAATCCTTACCATTAAAGCAAATATGACTTCAAATTAAGTGTGCCGAAGAGCACGCGTTTATTTTCACTACTTGATTTAAGTTAGTTCCAACTAGTATATATAAAACCAAGCTCATCTACGGAAGGCATTGACGTAAGATCGTGTTAATAAATTCCCCCACCCCCCGCATCGGGGCAACTGTGAAAGGTAAAATAAAAATATAAAACCTTTGAAAGAGAATAATAGAGTTTTGCAAATATTTTCGCATATTCCTCTTACACTTCCTCGTTATTATCCGAACTTTTGGATGCATCGCCGCGCACAAGCACGACTGCAGACACTTGGACATTTGGAAGCTGCTTTCGTATGAACGAAAGCATTGCGCGCGCGCGCGCGCGCGTGTGTGTGTGTAGGTGTGAAGGAGTAAGAAAATCACCCTGGGTAGTAATTTGCCTGGGAGGTACTCATAATTTGCCGGGAGTTCGTGTGGGCGTTCAGTTTTGGTTGCTATGGTAGTGCGACCTACATGTAACGAATACAAATCGAGTTTGGCAATTAGAACTTCACCTTATATTTCTCAATTCTTTCGATATTTTAGGCATATCTCTATGTTTTCTATGGGCATTTGTTTCCTTTCAGATCCCCCGAATTGTAGTCACCTGCATTATTTCGGAGTGTGTTAGTCCTCTCACTTTGCATGGAAGTGAATCGCGTGTTCCTCGTACGCCAAGCCGTGTTGACTGAAGCGTTAAGGAAACGTTGAGGGTGTGAAATGCACTGCGTGCACAGAGCATGCGATTTGAGGTGGTGTAAAGGGACGAGGAAATCTCACCTGGGGTCATTGCTTGAATAACATGAGGAGGCGACGGGGTGCGGAGAGTTGAGGTATGTGCACTTGAAGTAATTTGTGGAGAATGCGTTCACGTGGGTGGTACGTTTTGGTTCAGAAGGCAGAATATACACGTTGTGAATACCGTGGCTCATTTATAGAAGGGTTAAGCAAGCTGGAGTCATGTCTCATTATATCCGCACTTCCTGGATATTTTCGTCATTCTTTTGCTTATATCCGCACGTGACTAGTGCTTTCTTTCACACTAGAACACTTATTTCTTTGGAGTTTACGAATGCGTGAAATTTATGAAAGTAAATGTAATGAGAGTTGAAAATGAAAAAAAAAAAATTTCACGTAAATGGTCACAGTACCCTCATTTAAATGTTGGAATGACTGAACGCAATTTTTTGAAAAAAAGTTTCCCGATTTTACAAATTATTTTGTTTCTAACATTCGTCCTGACGTTAGAAACAAAATGAAAAGTTTGATGTTGAAATTCGTCCCGATCTAAGTTTCCACTGCTAATATCTGAGAAGCACAAAATGGAAAATTTATCGATTTCGATTTATCGATCAAGAAAACTATCGATTTCTAGCCGAAAAATATCATCAGGAGATAGGGTCCGAATGGGGAGATAAGAGCGCCTGGAACAGACGGTGCATTAGTTACAAATTCGTTAGCCCCCGAACATTAGAAAATTTGTGTGAGCACGTTCATGCGTGGTAGAAAGGGGAAATCGTAAAATTTTGTCACGCATGGAATGCGAACAGGGCATAAAAACGTTGTACTATCACTTTGGTTTACGACTCGACGATTGCTGTTTTATTGATGTTATAAAGTTAAAAAACACGGCGTTGCAGCAATGAACAACGAAAGTACGATATTGAGAAAAATTGTGATTGCAAAATGTTCGGCGAGAACGACGGACATTAAATTCAAAATTATTGTTATGAAATCATATATAGAATTTTGATTTTCGGATTTTCTGTTTCATTTTATTCTATGAAATGAAATGTATCGGAAAATTGTGTCCTTTGACCAGTAAAAAGAGTGCTTAGAATTCACAAAGACACACACTGAAATACTACTATCGCAATTTTGTGAACCAAATTTCAAGTAAAAATGACAAAAATCTGCGTTCCCTCATTTGTCAACGGACAAACACTCCCTGAGTTATCAGATTCGTTCCGTCAATACAGATGAGGCTGTGAACGCCAAACGCCTCCGGTACCCATTTAAGAAAACTCCTCTTAAAATTACCATGTAATTGACACATAATAGCGAAGCAGAGCGCGATGAAACAAAATCGCGTTCAATTACATTATGATCAACTTCGTGTCCAAATGGTCGTCCTACAATTAGCCGGTCGGGGCACACTAAACTCCTCGGCAAACAAAAACGCCGTCCGCTCCCATTCATTCATCATAGCCCTTTAGTTCTTGCGGGCGCGATGCTAAAAGTGGCGACGCTTCTGTGACGAATGTCCCCGAAGCGAACACACAATGCAGCAGATTAAGGAGCGACCGTTTTTCAGGAGCGGGGAAAGGGGCAGGGGGGAGAAAACGACTCCAGTTTCGAGGGACC